ACGGAGAAGTTATCCATCAAAGGGAGTGCAGCATGGTCATTTTATTTTAATACACGCGGCTAGAGTTGTCATTCTGCCTAATCTCAGAAAAAGTGTCCGACGACGTGTATGAAACTCAGTGCAAATATGATCCCTTGACTCACATTTAGGTTAAACATGTTTCGCGATTAGCCTTTGTACAAAGTGAATACATCATATGATGTTGCAGTGTTTAGTCATACAAACATGAAACATTGTCACCATTACACTTGTAGTGACCTACTTTTATGAAGAGAACGCGATTGGTATAATGGAAACAATAATCATTCTAACCAATTGTACCAGTGATTGTTTTACTTTATCTGTTTGTTTAAGTTTACCGAAAACACACATTCTTCTGTTGTCGTCCGTTGACCTTGTACGGACCCGTGTACACCCAGCAGTCCCGCTTGTAAACTTTGACACGATCTCGGTATTATTTCGATACCACATGATCGCCAACAAATACATCTTACTACAATCTTTAATTGCCTTCTGAAATTCGGTCTACGGAGGGATCTAACCTGGTAATTGGCACGTAGTCTCCCTGTAGTGATCATAGTCAACCGCTACTCGACGCAACGCTACAAGTTACATTAAATCTTGCAGTTAAAATAATCTAAATATACAGTAAGCTAAGTATTTAATAAACAGGTAATTTCTTCATGTAGACGTAAAAATAAGGATTGGCAAAGTAATAACCGCATTCCTTCAACTAAAGAACATATGGAACTCAAAACAATTGTCAACAAATATCAAAGTCACAATCTTCAATACGAACGTCAACGCGGTCCTACCGTATGGAGCTGAAACTTGGAGAACTACTAGAATCAACATCAAGAATGTACAAGTATTGGTAGACAATGGTCTGCATAAGATACTGAATGTCCGTCGGTCGGATACCATCAGCAACAGCCTACTGTGAGATAGCACAAACCAACTTGCAACTGAAGAGGAAATTACGAAAAGATGTTGGGAGTGGATGGGACATACATTGAAGAAATCATAAAACTGCATCACAAAGCAAGTGCTTACTTGGAATCCTGAAGGGAAACGGAAAAGAGGATGGTCGAAGAACACACGGAGTAAAAAATTGGAAGCAGACATGAAAGGATGAATGGCAACTGGAAAGGAATGCCCAGGACAGTGTTGGATGGTAAGTACTAGTGGCTGGCCTATGCACCTCTACGAGGGGTAGCAGGCGTAAGTAAGCAAGTAATTTATTCAATAACTTGAAGTTATCACAGTGACTACACTCGTATATTAAGGTACAAACAGTGTTTGTAAATCGATGTTTCATTGTTTATTGTGAGGTCATTTCACTATTCCATGACACCATTTTCATAGATGTTATTTTATTAATCTGTAACCGTAGTACATCAGTAACGCATGAATAAAACTTCACATTGGAAGAAGCTTCAAATGAGCATATCAATCAAGTGAGTTCAATTTGAACGATATCAATGTAGGTGTAATTATATACAGAAAAGTTCGTTTATTTTCATTTGACTATTTATATAATTGTTGTTTTTAGGAGTCTAGAAAACGCTTAAAAAATGACAGGAAAATTAGGTGCAATAGTTCAGTAATTGTTGACTATTCAAACATTTCTTGATTTACCATGATAACGAATAGATTTGATTTATAAATATAAATACCAAGGTTGGACTAAGGAGTTAATACCAAATATATTTTTGTTATATCCCAGACGAAATCGCAGCATTACAGATCATTGTGGAGCAATCAATTGAATGGAATTCATCACTCTACATCAACTTCATTGACTACGAGATAGCATTTTATAGGGTGGACAGAACAACACTATGGAAGCTTCTTCGACACTACGTCGTGCCTCAGAAAATAGTCAATATCATACGGATTAAACTGCTTAATCGTGAATGGAGGACAGCTGACAGACTCGTTCGGTGTAAAGACCAGTGTCAGTCAAGGTTGCTTACTCTCACTCTTTCTGTCTCTCCTAGTGATCGACTGGATCATGAAGATGTCAGCATCTAGGGGGAAGCACGGGATACAGTGGATATCTAGGATGGAGGTGGACAATCTAGACTTCGCAGATGATCTGACTCTTCTATCGCACACGCAACAACAAATGCAGGAGAAAACAACCAGTGTAGCAGCAGCCTCAGCAGCAGAAGGTCTCAACATACACAAAGGAAAAATCAAGATTCTCTGATACACACACATCATGCACCAACACAATCTTAATTGACGGAGAAGCTTTTGAAGATGTAAAAACCTCCAAATATCTGGGCAGCATTATTAATGAACACGGCGGATCTGATGCAGATATGAAGGCGCGGATCGGAAAAGCAAGAGCAGCATATTTACAACTGAGGAACATCTGGAACTCAAAGCAACTGTCAACCAACACCAAGGTCAGGATTTTCAATACAAATGTCAAGACAGTTCTACTGTATGGGGCAGAAACCTGGAGAACTACGAAAGCCATCATCCAGAACATACAAGTGTTCATTAATAGTTGTCTACACAAAATACTTCGGATCCATTGGCCAGACACTATCAGAAACAATCTACTGTGGGAGAGAACAGACCAGACTCAGGCGGAGGAAGAAATCAAAAAGAATCATTGGAAGTGAATAGGACACACATTGAGAAAAGCACCAAATTGTATCACAAGACAAGCCCTCATATGGCATCTTTAAGGCCGAAGGAAAAGAGGAAGACCAAAGAACACATTACGCCGGGAAATGGAAATAGACATGAGAAAAATGAACAAGAATTGGATGGAATTAGAAAAGAAGGCCCAGGACAGAGTGGGTTGGAGAATGCTGGTCGGCGGCCTATGCTCCATCGGGAGTAACAGGCGTAAGTAAGTAAATAAATAATATCCCGATGAATAGGAGAATTATATATATACGACTTATTGTAAGCCACTTATTCAAAGTAAATAAATATAACAAGAATATATTTATTATTGGTATCTTGTCATGTTTATTTTGTACTTAGCAGACAACCAAAAGTATTTTGCTGAAAATTGTCTTAAATCTCTATATGATTCTATTCAAGAGGAGTTGTATCAATAATTCAGTCTTACATACATATGCCTGTTACTTCATAGGGAAGAGCATAGGCGTCCCACCAACATTTTCCATCGCCATCTTTTCTTGATAGTCCTTTCCAGTTGCTTATCATCCTTTTCATATCTGCTTCCAATTTCCGACGCAATGTGTTCTTTGACCTTCTTTTTTTTCCTTTCACTTCAAGACTTATCTTTAGCGTATGCCTTATGATGCATTTTGATGATTTTCTCAATATGTAGCCTATCCACTGCTTTTCTCAAGCAGAGATAAAGCAAGAGGGTAGGGTATGAGGTCAACAATCCCATCTCATAGAACAACAACTTTGCTAAATAGATCTTGTAAAATGTAATTCACACCTGATTAACACATCTCATTTATCATTTCAATTATAAACGTATACAATTTTCTAATAACTTTTTCATAATAATGAAAACAAACATGGTGGTCTGTAAAATTTCTGAAATCTCCACAAACCCCTTCTGATAATAATCATCTACTCACTAGTGACTCACTTCAAGAGGCATTTCCTGGAGTTCTAGTGAGAAACCGTTACCAGTGGAGTTCAGCCAGATCTGTTGTGAAATATGAACTTACTGAAGACAATGGTGTACGATGGCGTAACTTCGTGGATTGGCTGAATTCACACATTAACACCATTGAATGCTGGCTCAGGGGTCTAGTTGATTAAGCGCTTAGCGTGAGACTGATAGGTCCTGGTTTCGAATTTCGCGGTGGGCGGGATCGTGGATGCGCACTGCTGAGTAGTCCCATACTAGGATGAAACAGCTGTTCAGTGCTTCCAGGTTTTCCATGGTGATCTAGCTTCAATTGACTCATGATTTCAATCAGTGAAAAAAAACAACAAATGTTTATAAAGAAATATAATACTTGTAATTTATATAAATAAATCTTACCCTCTGTTTCTCTCTCTCTCTCTAGAAAATACAAAATCTAATCATTCAAATGAATAACTATTGAAACACATAAGGTAAATATCATGAAACTAACATATATCTCTAATTCAGTATGAAGTTACGATTCATAGATCATGGATAATGATCCTTCTATAGATTCATCCATAGAAACTTTCATACAACTTTTAAATAATCCAATGAAATTATCTTGTTGTTAGTATTAGAATTGAGTAGTAAAGTGATTACAATAACCTCAAATATGAATTTAATGACTTCATTAAATCATTCTAGACAATATATAACACTTAGTTTCATATCATAGAATGAATGAATGTCAATGAAGGAAAGAAAGAAAGAAAAAAGAAGGGTGATAAAAAAGAAAGAAACAAAAATCAATCTTATTATACTACTTAAATACATTTTCTAAATTTTAAAAGAAAAAAACAAACAATTAATTCATTAGTAGTGGATTCATGTGCTATTCAGTTAGGATAGGGATCGAACAAGTATAATCATGAACGGGAGGGAAGGAGGGAGGGAGGGACTTAGTTAGGGACAGACAGAGAGAGAGGGAGTGTGTGTGTGTGTAATTGAAACAGGAATAATACACTCAAATATGATGGTCAATATTCAAGGACATAAAAATGATACATTCAAACAAGGAAATCAATTAAAAACAAACGAATATATAAATCCATACAAATAATAATAATCATCATCACCATCATATTGTTGCTAGGGAAATAAATCTCATATGGATAATAAAACAAAAACTAGAAAGAACAGAAAAAAAAGAAAAGGTAAAAAAAATCATTCCATTATTAATTTCTACATAGTTTCGTCCTTTTTTCTTCTTCTTCATCATCATCAATAAATCAATACAAAAAAATCAACAGAAAGAAAACAAGTAAACAAACAAACAGACAAACAAACAAACAAACGAACAAAACAAAACAATAAACAAATAGTTATACATACTTATTATTTGTATTCTAATTAAGATTCATTATAATTGTTTAGCTTTATTAATATATTCATATAATACTTTGAATGGTATCATTGTATAATCAGATAATTGATAATGATTGAGATCATGATCATGATTAGAATATGATAAATCCCATAATGGTTTTAATGATAATGGTTTACCAAGATAAATTAAACGAAACCATAAATCATTTAGATTATTATTTGTTAATGAAATATTATCTGAATTTAATGTATTCGATTTCATAATGGATAAATTGGTTGATGATGGCGATGACGGTGATGATGACGCCGACGGTGATGATGTTGATGCTGTTGTATATAATTCAAATATAATATCAGCAGCAAATGGTGGCCAACAACCATCGAATACATTTAAACCAAATAATAATAACATAATTGATGAATCATGACATGAATATAAATGAAATTGTGGTACTCTATAGAATGTAATATTGAAAGGAATAAGAAAAAAAACACACGAATATTAATGGCTTAATTTGAATAAACAAAAAGATCTAGTGAATTGAATTGTAGAATATTGAATGGATCAAGATCATATTTCATTAGTGATTCATGAAGAGTATTCTATGATGGGGATATAATTTTCCTTGGGGAGCAAATTAATTAATGGAAATATAACGAGTATTGAATAAAGAATTCATTCTATGTTGAGACTCTGTAAAGATGTTTCCAATCATCAAGTTACCCTTTCGTGCAGGAGTATAAGCCGCCAACTTTACTTAATTACGCTTGTTACTCCTCGTGAAGAAGCATAGGCCACTCACCAGTATTCTCTATCTAACTTTGTCTTGAGCAATCTTTTGCAGTTGTTATTTATCCTTTTTTATCTACTTCTATTTCTCGACGTAATGTGTTCTTTGGCCTTCCCCTTTCCCGCTTCCCTTCACGATTCCAAGTTAGGGCTTGTCTCGTGATACAGTTTGATGATTTCCGTAATGTATGTCCTATTCATTTCCATCGTCTTTTCCAAATTTTTTCTTCAGTTGGAAGTTGGTTTGTTCTCTCCCACAGAACGCTGTTGCTAATGGTATCCGGCCAATAGATGTTGAATATCTTGCGTAGACAACTATTTATAAATTCTTGTACATTTTTGATGATGGTTGTAGTAGTTCTTCAAGTTTCAGATCCGTACAGTAGAACTGCCTTGACGTTCGTATTGAAGATTCTCACTTTGATATTGGTTGAAAGTTATTTTGAGTTCTATGTTCTTCAACTGTACGAATGCGGCCGTTGCTTTGCCGATCCTCGCCTTTACATCTGCATCTGATCCTCCTTGTTCATCGATGATGCTTCCCAGGTACTTGAAGGATTCCACATCTTCCAGAGTTTCTCCATCAAGTGTGATTGGATTGCTGTTCTCCGTGTTGTATTTGAGGACTTTGGTTTTCCCCTTGTGTATGTTGAGGCCTATTAATTCAGGGACTGTTGCTAAACTGGCTGTCTTTGTCTGCATTTGTTCGTGTGTGTGCGATAGGAGGGCTAGGTCATCTGCGAATTCCAACCAGCATTCTATATATATATGCAGTATAAGTCTAAAACTCAAGAAACAAAGAACTATACCACCAAAAATATTCAAACATTAATTTATCAACTACAAGGACATCAACCGGATAGTCTTTATCCTTTAAAACTGTCAACTTATTCCATTTTTTTCACCTTCATCATAGACATATTGATAGGAAGAACGTTCTCGTCGACTAAAATTCCAGGCATTGATCTCCTACCAAAAGGTCCACTTATTGACTTAGAATATGAAGATGATATAGTCCCGTTTAGTGAACACGCTGACAAAATTCCGAGTCCATTGATAGCACTGAGCAACAATACCAGAATGTTTGGGAAGCGTTTTTCCGCCTCAAAACGCAGGTTGTTGCTTCAGGACTGGTCTGCGTCAACATCTGAACCAAGGATAGGGAGTAATGTAGACGAACGCGTTGACAACTTCACTTATCTTGGAAGTCGGATCAGTCCTAATAGGTTGGTGTCTGACAAAATCTCAGCACGGAATCAAAAAGTTTGTTTGGCTTTCGCCAACTTTTTTCACCAATGGTGACAGCGAGATATCCGTCTATCAATAGTAGGACAAGTTTAGTGCACGACAGTTCGTTCTGTTCTAATTTACGGCTGCGAAACGTGGCCATTAAGAGTAGAAGATACTCGTGAACTACTAGCAATTGATCATAGATGCCTTAGAAATATTGTGCACATCTGCTGGCATCACCGGATAAGTAATAGTCAGGTTAGATGCAAGGTAGGTGTATACACTCTCTGTCTTCCCTTAAACTATGAGATTAAAATTGCTTCATTTCTTTCTATCTACGAACTAATTCTTTGTTCCTGTACTATGTTCTTATACACAATCTTTCTTTTATATATTACCACCATTGAATTAACTACTTCTATGAATTTCGTGCTCATCCTGTTGTGCTAATGAGTGAGATATGGCAACTTGGACAGACGCATATATGTGCCTGGTCCTACGTTGTAGCTGACTGATTGAGTCTTTATCGAACAAAATTGTTCAACCTAACAGTCAATGATTCCGTGAACTGATGCCACGTTTTGGTTTGGTGGTTCTCCTACACAAATAAATACCATGTGTAGCGGTATGCGGTGGTTAATGGTACTTAATACATGTTCCAACCATCTCATTTGACGAAAATTCATCACGTTAACAACTGACCCTACAGCTTTGTCTACTACTCTATGCAAAAACTATACCTTAATTAGTTGATGGTCTCAAAAAAGCAACTATTCCCTCTAAATCATCTATAATCAAATAATCACTGTCAACATAGATGAGAGCTGACTCAACTCTCCATATCACATTAGTATGACCGGATGAAATTAAGATTGATTTCAAAGGATATCGAAATAATGTAGTAGCTATGATAATGAGAACAAGTGCACATTCGTGATATAGTTCGATAAAACAGAGTGGAAATGTATGTGTATGAGGGAACACTGGAATTTAATCACAACAATTAGTAACCTACTAATGTCCTCTATTTTTAAAGGGTACATTACACAGCTGTAATTTCGAACGACTAAGTCATGTTGTTCATAAAACATAACATCTTGTAAAGGTCTTAATTTGTCCCATGTGATCTTTATCAAGCATTAACATTATTAATCGATAGTAATATTGAAAACCAGCAGGAGAGAAGGAGAAGAATATATAATATATTTTAATCTAGATTATGGGACAAAGCATTTTAAGAAGATCCACAAAATTAAGTCGAATTCGTATTATTTTTAATTTATCCAAATAAACATAAATCTTTGATCAGGTTGGAAAAAAAAGCCCTCCAAAATGCCCTGCTATGGTCGACGGTGGAGACAGTTATCTCTCTCTCTCTCTCAAATACTCTCAAGTGACCACGTGCATACAACCACTGTCAGGATAGTTCTACTCACTTCCTTCTCGTTGTGGGGGTATTGCTTAGGGAATTGGAAGAACGAAAAACGAATGTCCAGCGCTATAACCGGTTTAATGCATACGGAGAATTCATCTAAGGGAGTTGGAAAACCCTCATTCCAAACCAATGGTGCACATGGGCTCCAGTATCCTGAGGAAAAAATAGCGTATGAATCAATCGTTGGTCAACGGCTATTATGTGATTACATCTCCTTACGTTGCTCCACTGCCTTGTGGATCAAACTTTCGAATCGAAGGCTCGGGGCGTGGCCTCCTAAGAAAACCACCTGCTTCGGTTTGGGCACCCGGGCAGTATCACAGCCTACATACAAATCAAGTGACTTGTGAAGCGCATATTTATTCGGTGCCCCTTTTCACCAATGTTATTTTGTTTAAATAAATAAACAATGTAACATAAATAAAGGGGATTTTGATAATAGAATTGTACTTCAGGTTCTGAATTTCAGTATATACTTCGAATAACCTCAAGGTAAAGCACTTATTCAGTCTGAATAGAACAGTAATAAAATTTTTAACTATGACACTAAGGTGACTGTTATATCTCTAGATGCTTATATTTTTGATATGACGCGTATAACTTGAGCACTTGAACGCTAGAACCCTTCTTAGTTACAATGAGAAAACAGAAGACTAGTGTCAAATTAAAGTACAAACTGTCATGTATTTATAGTTTTTAGTAAAAACGAAATCATCATTATAGCTATCCAATCCGCATACAGGGGGTTATTAGCATTGTCCAGTTGGGAAGCTACACATAGAGATTCTAGAATATTCTTCCAAAAGATGATTGGATGGAATATCTCTGGCTCTTTCTGAGCTTCTTAAGGCTTCCTCTAGTTCACTTGTGAACCGTCCTCATAGTGACGTGAGTTCGAATACTATTGAATGTATCTATTTGATCAGGGTTGTTTAAGTTTCAACTAACAAGTTATCTAAGGGTTCAAGGATTCATGCCAATCTCTTTATACTATATAAGATCAGAAATAATTCAATGAAACGTACAGCCTACTATGGGAGAACAAACCAACTTCTGACAGAAGAGGAAATTAGGAAAACACGTTGGAAATGGATAGGATATACATTGAAGAAATCATCAAACTGCATCACAAAGCAAGCGCTAATTTGGAATCTTGAAGAAAAACGGAAAAGAGGAAGGTCGAAGAACACTTTGCGTCGAGAATCGGTAGCATACATTAAAAGGATGAATAGTTACTGGAAAGGATTGTCCAGGACAGGGTTGAATGGAAAATTCTGTTGACTGGCTTATGCTTATCCACGAGAGGTAATAAGCGTAAGTAAGTAATGATGAAACGTTCATAGTCTAGTCTTAATACATACTGAACTTCGGTGAATTTAAACGATTATTACCAACAACATGGATTTTGAAATGAAATAATTCAATTGTAAATTCCAATTCCATGAATATTTCTTGGAAAATAACGTTGTTTTTTTAAATGCTTCTAGGTATAAACGGATGGTAATTTTCTAGCTTATTGTTCTTCGATTTGAATTTACATTAGGTAAACAGTATAATACTGATAACTTTAGACTGGAATAAGGATAGTATCCAATTTGTTAGCGGGATATAGATTGGATTAAAGCATGTTCCATGCACGATCGCGTTAGTACACACTGATTGGCTATTTCTTATTCAATCAGAGCTAGTCGATACTTGGAAAAGACTCTAGAATTTTCTCGTGTAAAAACTAATGTTTCTCTTATTGTGATTCTTGCGTCCGTCTACTTTTGTTATTTAGAATATAACTTCTTTCCTATTCAACCGTGTTCTGATTTAGGGACTTGTCAAGTGAATTGGTATCCAAGAATACTTAACAATAGCGATTCATAAGTCCATTGAATCTAGATCATCATGGAATATCTAGAATCACTGGACAATCATTTCGTCTTAGTATGAGACTCCTCAGTAGTGCGCAACCATAATCCCACCTCATGGGATTCGAACCCAGGATCTAACAGTTTCGTGTATTTCCAGACTTTCTATAGTGATCTAACTTCAATTGATTTATGAATTGAACTATAAAATTACTAAAATCTTCACAAAACTACCTTCTGATAGTTCTTGGTTTGGTTTTCTTTTTAACTTATACTTACTTTTGATAATTTATCATATTCTCTAATATAAGTGAAAATAGGTCACTTAATACAATATGAACATTTTTCTTCCAATCTCTGTGAAATAAAGAAAAAAAAATGCACAAATGACAAAATGAATGATTGAATTATTCAATTTGTTTAATGATTAAAATTAGTTCCATTCACAAATACACATATCAATTGATATCATGAATGGATGAATGTTAGATCAGAATTGAAAACTTGAAAGCATTGGAAAGCTGTTTCGTTCTAGCATGAGACTCTTCAATAATGCACATCCATGATCTTGCATGTAGGACTCGAACCAGGGACATTCAACCTCATAGGTGAATGCTTAACCTCTAGACCACTGAGCCAGTATTTCGCGTGCTGGATCGTAAATGCGCACTGTTGAGAAGTCCCATACTAGGATGAAACAATTGTCCAGTACTTCTAGGTTTTCAATAATGGTCTAACATTCATCTATTCATGATATCAATTAAAACTCAAATAAATGTGAATACTCTTCTGAAAAAACAGGTTGAAACTGCTTGAATGTCATCAAAGTATTCTATATCATACATTTGATTAAAGAAATGTATTATCAACACAATATACACAAAATTATAAAAGATGCCTTCTTTTTTAAAAAGACAATTATTCATTCAATCGAACAATCAAAAACATTTATTGCATGAATTCGAGCACAAATCAACTGTAGTTTCTTCAAAGAATAGATGATGATGATGGATTCCGCAGTATCTAACTTCATAGTCTATTGTAAGTTTTATATGAAAGTATGTGGATATATTAGACTGTTAGCATAAAGAATAATTTACTTGATAGAAATCTAAAGTTTAAAAGTTGATTTCGTGAGTCAATTGAAACTAGATTATCATGAAAAACGTAGAAGCACTGAACCGCCGTTTCGTCCTAGTATGGAACTCCTCAGTAGTACGCACCAACGATCCCGCCCAGCGGGATTCGAACTCAGGATCTATCGGTCTCACGCGCGAATGCTTAACATTTAGGCATCTAACGGTGTTAATTTCTTACTTCAACCAATCCAAGAAATTGAGCGACACATCCACTATTGTCTTCAGTGAGATACTATCTCACAACAGACCTGGTTGAACTCCACTAGTCGCTCATTAATTACTATAATATCCACAAAACTCTTTTCTGATAGAAATCTACAGGATAAAAAATTATTGCAATTTAGATGTGCAGTTTAAAAGTAACAAGCGACCCATAGCTTTGATCAGGGTTTATAACAATAAAAAGATTCGTATATGTTAGACATTACAAGAATCCTTCTGAACAGCTTACACCGTATGATATACTGGATCCATAAACAAAACAGTATATGAATCAGCACACGTTAAAAGATGTGACAGTAATATGTGTAATTTTGTGATCCAGTAAAAGTCGGTGTACTTGAATTTTCGTTAAAAATTTTTTATGTGTAAGGACTGGTAATATAACGTTGCTAGTGAAACTGAAACATCTAAAGAAGGATTAAAACCTAAAAGTTTCGTGTTCAAACTTACAATTGATTGATCACTGGGTGGTCATCAATGTCATTTATGTCAGTTCCTTCTAAGTACAGATCGAATTCTATCGACCAAGCTGCAGTGTGACCACCAGTCTAGGTGACTCGACATTGCGTGCACTATGTCGAGATAAGATGGTGGTTAAAGGTAGTCAACAGGAAACCCTGGACCTAGGTTTCCTGCATCTCAGTCCCATATGAGTTCATTCGCGGACTGGATAGCTCAGTGGTAACGTCTCTGACTGTGAAGCTAGGTAACACGGGATCGAGTCAGTATAAGGAAATATACACAATCATAGTTGTTCCAACATATTCACTCTTTCACTTTCCACTTAATTCAGAAAGTTCAGCAAGTGCATGTTATCTATAAATTCATTATTTAACTATGTTCTGCTTCTATAAGTTCGTACTTTTTTCTGATTTCATCGATTTGTTCCACTGGAATAGGAATTGATATGTAAGAAAGACCAAACTTATATGAATCTCTTTGCGTATGTTAAGATACTACTACTTCACCAATATTACCATAGACAGTTATTGTGTAATTATTTTAGTCGTTAGAATCGACGTTGGCTCAAAAGTCTGTTTTTGTTCATAGTATACTCTCAGAGTGTCTTACTGACACATTGAGCCAATTAAACGAAGGTTAAAAGAAAATCCCACATTATTGAAAAACACCTGGTTTCCTTTTCTAAAACAGAACACACCACTGGATGGAGATTTGGGTACATGTTTCAGGGAAAGGAGGGAGGAAAGTGTATATTTATGAATGAGTTTACATATATTCTTGATTCGGTTTTAGTCCATAATGCTTCTTTCTGACTGTCGATGTTCTTATTTTTTATTTAATTGAACATATATACGTTGGTACAAAGAAACACCAAAAAGATATCCGCCACATGGATCATTCGCTTAGTGTGAAAGCCGGGATACTGTCCGGGTGCCCAAACCAAAGCAGATGGTTTTCTTAGGTGGTCACACCCCGAGCCTTTGACCTAAAGGTCTAATCTTTAGGAAAGTGGAGCAACGTGAGAAGATGCAGTCTCATTGTAGCCGGTTACCAACAACAGGTTCATACGCCATTTATTCCCTCAGGATACTGGAGCCCATGTGCACTATTGGTTTGGAATCAGGGTTTTCCAACATCCTTAAGTAGATCATCCATATCCACTAACACATTTAAAGAGCTGGATATTCGCTTTTTATCCTCCCAATTTCGGTAACAATACCCCAGCCACGAGAAGGAAGTGAGTTGGACTTTCTTGACAGTGGTTGTATGCACGTGGCCACTTGAGAGCATTTCGAGAAAGAGAGCTGACTCTCTTCACTCTCGGCCGTACCAGAGCATTTGAGGACTGTTGATATTCTCACTCAAGTTTTATAAGAAGCTTATATTTCAGTATTACAGTTAGACACCACACAAAATAACACTAACTTTAATAATAGATTAAATCGATTCTACAGAAAAAAAGATCAACTAATGATAGAATAGATATTTAGTGTAACTACATGTCATAACTCTTCTAAATGAAGACCTTCTAACTTCCAGAACAAAATTTATATGGTTTGAATCATTTTTTCTGATTAACGTTATTTTTTTACCGAGTTAGTTTTCTACAGGATGGGGTCGGTAATCCCACACCCAACCTTGTTCCTTTATCCGGGCTTGAGGGCGGCAACAGCCCCATAGAGGGGGACTACAGGTGGAGTGTAACTACATACCTACTATATATTGATTAAGTCACATTATTGTAATATGTTATTTTTCCATTGCTTATTAGTAGTATGTAGAAATAGTTTTTAAAAAAGTCACCTATTCTATGTTTTATGTGATCCAAACCAATTAAGTATGTATGTTTCAAGTGTAAGTAATTCTTTATCTAAATATCTACTTATATTAAACGTACATGAAATATTTATACGAATATTCTTCAAGATTAAAACGAATAGTTTGATAGAAAGAAGATTATTAAAAATGAAAGAAAAACTAAACTAGAATGTATACGAAAAGTTTGGAAGTACACCATAGTCATACCATACCGTAGTGAAACCTTCAGAAGAAATCAAGCAGATTCTAAACAAACACGATATAAGAGTGTATTTTTAGGGCGAGTAACACCTTAAGATCGACATTAGTGAAAGTTAAGGACAGGTTACTAAAGGAAGAACAATAGAATATTGTGTATGAGATCAACTGTCATGATTGTCATGCAGCCTTTGTTGGAGAAACATCTAGACAATTGAATGTAAGATTGAAGGAACGCAAACAATGTTTGAAAAATGTGTCCCAAATCCTCGGTTGATTTGAAGAAATTTGAGAATAAGTCTGCAATAGCGTTACATGCATTAGAAACAGGAAACAAGATTAATTTTGGAAGGACCAAAGTACTTCAGAAAGGTTTTAACACCCATAAAGAAAGATTGACAGAAGAAGCTCTGTATATATATGGGCGAACAAGAACAGCCTAAACCGAAAAGATGGTATTCAACTGTTGACTACCTGGCAAATTTCGTTTGAACACTTATCTTTATTCAACCTGTTTATTTCTCATGCATCGTTATTTTTCACAGATTGAAATCATGAGTCAATTGAAGCTAGACCACAATGGAAAACCTGGACGGCCGTTTCGTCCTAGTTTGGATGCCTGCCAGTTCAGTGGTCTAGTTGGTTAAGCTCTTGGCACGAGACTGAAAGGTCCTTGGTTCGAATCTCGCGGTTTGCGGGATCGTGGGTGCGCACTGCCGAGGAGTACCACAATAGGACGAAACGACAATCCAGTGCTCCCAGGTTTTCCATGGTGGTCTAGCTTCAATTGACTCATGATTGCAATCTGTGAAATTTCTAAAATCTATACAAACCCCTTCTGGTAAGCGTTATTTTCGACTGATTTCAATGAGTTTTTTAGCAATACAATTTAGGTATTTGTTTGACATGTACAACGACGATTCATTAACAGTTTTATCAACCTTGAACTTGTACTTTTATTTATTTATTCCTTCATATATCCCATATCAACACAGAATATCAATAATTCATCTCACACATACCTACATACCTACACACTCACACATATACAATTTGTATATTCAGTTAATTATTTTCCATGTAGTTGAATTTTTTCACATGATTTGTAGTTAACCGCCTTGTTTTATCCCTATTTTACAAAAAAATCAACATCCAAATTTTGATTGGTGTAACACAGTATAGTTTTGATTGTTAAAAAGCTATATCAGAAGGGGTTTTGTGAAGATTGTAGTAATTTCAACAGTTGAGATCATTAGTCAATTGAAGCTAGACGACCATGGAAAATGTGGAAGCACATAACGGCCGTTTTGCCCTAGTATGGCACTCTTCAACAGTGCGTACCAGCGATCCCAGGACCTATCAGTCTTGCGCCATGCGCTCAACCAACTAAACCACTGAGCCAGCATCCAACGGTGTTAATATCTAACTTCAACCAATCGATGAAATTGCGCCACCGTACACCATTTTCTTTAGTGAGTTGTTATCTCACAACAGACCTGGTTGAACTCCACTGGTAACGGCTTCTCACTAGAACTCCATGAGTATCTCTTGAAGTCAGTCACTAGTGAGCAGTTGATTATTATCAGAATGGGTTTTGTGGAGATTGTAGTCATTTCAACAGTTGAGATCATAAGTCAATTGAAGTTGAGGAGTCCCACCAAAGGACAAAACAGCCATCCAGTGCTTCCAGGCCTTCCATGATAGTCTAGCCTCAATTGTCTCATGATTTCAACTGTTGAAAAAGCTATAATACATTTCTTTGATGATTTTGATTATTCTACCCTGAAGAAGTCCAGATAAGTTAACTGGACGAAACGTTGTAATTGTTTTTTTTAAAATTTCAATCGCTGAGGTTATTTCAAATATAATTTTTACACATATAATGTACATGGAATAAGTTATAGGATATGCATAGCCTTAAAAAAAAATACAATCTATTCCTACAGAAAAAAAAAGAAAGAAAGAAGCACACTTCATAGGTGTATAACGTAGTACATAGAGACAAAGCAAAAGTATCAAAGTATAAGTCTGTAATATATATAAGAAGGTATGATTTAAGTAATTTAAACCCCTCTTCCCTGTTTGATACACAATGTCATGATTTATCTTATGCTGTTTTCTATGTTTGCTTTACTACTTTTTTTTTCCTTGTTAACCATGTGAATATAGAGAAAGAACATTATTATTTCATATGATGTATAGTATACGTGTTATTCAATTACGTAAACTACATATAATCAGAACTATTTCGAATAATATTTCATCACAATGTGATCGGAACAGGTATATATATATAGAGAGAGAGCCCTTGGAAGTATGGAGTAATATATAGATATATACATAATAGATAATAAATTATCATGTAAATACATATTTTATATTAGTGCAAAGAAAAAGGTAATTATTTAAAGGATGAAAGACAAAAAAGATTCACAAATAGTAGTAGTGGGGTATGAGTTACTTATAACAATATAAGTAGTATATAACGATAGTCAGGAAGAGAATGTATTTCAATAGAAGATCGAGAAGGAAAACAATTGAGATGAAAATGCAGGAACAATGAACTGATATTTGCAAAAAGAATAGTCAAGTTTGAGACAATGAATTGGTATTTTGCAAATGAAGTATTTAGTATATATAGCTCCCAGATTTTAATAAGATGTTAACTAATTCTGTGTTCAAACACATTCGATTGCTCCCAGTCGTGCTCTTGTCCACTACAGTAGTAGTAGCAATAGTCGTGACATTGAAATAGAATGTAAGGATAAATGTATCTATTACAACGCAACCATTTTTGGAGCCAGGAAGTTACCAGGATATATGCAACTTTACTATGTACAAGCCTTAGTCTAAAAAGCGATAAGTTTGCACAGTAATCTTAAGCCTATATTCGTACACTCTTAGCTTTTTCGTAATATACAGTTATGATAACGACTATTTCAAGTTAAGGTAAGTATAAGGTATTACAATCACTTCATATGATGACTTAGGTTTATAACCTTATTAATTTGTTTATAAGCTGTTAATATAAATTGTACGTACATCAGTTCGAGTTGCCACACCACATTAGCACAGAGATACAAATGTCGATTCAAATCCCACAGTAGTAGAGGTAGTAAAATTATAAGCAGTAATCGGAAGCATTAGGCTTTGAAGATGTTATTCAAGGAGTATAGTCCAGTGAAATAAATTTGGAAAGAAAAAAAAGAAGAAACATGAAGAATTCAGAACATAAATAATGTATGCACCTGTGCCATTGCAAACGATTTTGAGCCATGTCATTCAGGGTCTCTAACCATCGGTTGCTATCATCTCACGGTCCCCAACCAGGTAGTCCACACCTACCAACATGGCTCAGTCCACTTGTCAGTGACTTCATGGACTTGTGCCACGTATATCTTCACTATTGTTATCTATTCAATTCAAACATTGGTATTCGTCATAAACTCAATGTATCATGAACAAAATCTTATTCTTTTGCATTGTAAGTACATTCTAGAATAATTTGATATCATTTTTTCTACTTTATAGTCAGTCAGTTAGTCAGATACAACGCAGGATCAGGCACATATATGCAACGTTTAAAGTTGCTACACCTCACTCATTAATCACAATTGATTGACCACTAAGTGGTGATCAACGTCATGTGTGTCAAGTCCTTCTTAGTGCAGATCGAATGCTATTGACCAAGTTGCAATGCGGCTCAACTGGGTCCATGGTTTCCTGTTGACTACCTCTAACCACTATCTAACTTCACTCAATTAGTACAACAAGGTGAACAACGAATTCATAGAAGTAGTTAATTCAATGATAGTAATATATAAAAGAAAGATTGTGTATAGGGATTTAATACAGAAAGAGAAAATTAGTTCACAGAAAGAACGATATTAAGCAATTTCAATCTCATGATTTAAGTGAAAACAAAGAAAAGAGTGTATACACCTATGTCATTGTGATGAGATGAAAATAAATTGGTTATTCTTTAGAACAACTCATTATCCAGTTTACAGCTGGATAAATTACATTTGAAGACATTTCAAATTTGACTGGGAAAAGAGGAAACTACATAATTATTTAAACAAATGAAAATTGAATATCAGTATGGGGTTGTGCAGATTATTGTTTTAGATTGAGATAATGAACTTAAGACCCTGGGTTCGAACCCAAGGCCTTTGGTCTCGAGCGTAAACGCCTAACCTCTAAACCACTGAACTTGCGAGCGGGATGGTGGATGCATAATGCTGAGTCTTACAACAGAACGAAACGGCCGTCCAGTGCTTCCAGGTTTACAATAGTGGTCTAACATTAATCGGTTCATGATCTTAATCAAAAATTGAATAATACAAAAGAATTGACCTACTTTTGTTTGCCTAGAAATTCATGCAATAATTCTTCTGAGCATAATTTATGCATTTCTGGTAATAATTTTTCCAATTCAGCTGGTATAGGGAAACCGGCATACTACAATGGAGTTTTTTTTATTTAAAATGAAAAAACAGGCAGAATGAAAAACAGAACTAACCGAATATAAACATAATTATCATAAAAATTTGCTTACAAACAGTTTATTCAGACAATATTAAAGCTTTATAACATAAAGTTATTCTGAAGGTATCTGAAAACGAAATAGGGTTAGAGGTGATCTTAGTGGCCTGATAGCGTGACCTCAATGCCCAAGGGACAACTGCTTGAGGTCGGTCACACACGACCTTTTTGTGAGTAATTTTCGTGTTAGCTCCGTAATTGTTCAGACTTTACCACCGGGACGGATATCCGTGGGATAAGGCGGAATGTGCATTTAAGAGTTGACCTTTTCTAACCTCACCTCTCCTTGAGTGAAGGCAGCATCGCTGTTATGCTGGTTTCCTGAAGGAAACACCTTACTGCCATCACACCTCTGCAGAGTCAGCAGTACGACTTCACCCCTGGATCTTGGGTTTGCTGCTTTCATTGTTACCACTCTTCAGTCGAACTGGAAACGATTGTTCAAGCCAGTATAGCTCGATTGGTTCACCACGATAGGGAAACCCGACCACAACTTCAAGGTAGCAGCATACATGATCATTATGCAGACAGACATAAGTAGTATGTAGCAGAAACTGAAAATGGAATACCTGTTAGCAGAAAGTCAGATCAATGAAACAGGAAGGGAAGTAGGAAGCAATCGTAATAACAGCAAGATTGGAAGAATCATGAAGTACGTACGCTACAACTAAGGGAGGGTGTGCAAATAATGTATTCAATGTATGATTTCAGGTTCGACAACCTGAAGTGATTTTGTCGAAAATTATTATTATTATTATTATTATTTATTATTATTATTATTATTATTCAAAAACATAAACATTGTTACAAGGAGGCACCAAACAAATATGCGCCACATAAATCATTCAATTTGTGTGCTTTAACCGGGTTGGTGGACCCACCCTCATTCCAAACCACACACAGTTAAGAAAGTTGGGTAACTACTTGGGTTCGATTGTAGTTGTCTAATTGAGATTACGTACATCAAGTGTAAACACTGTATGAATAATCAAGTGGTCTGAGATAATGTATTCCGGAATGACAAAGTTGACAGTCTAATGTGGGTTAGTGTTTTACAGTGCTCATTTTCATGACTTGTTCATATTTAATGCACATCATTAAGTGCTCCTATACTGCACCAACGCTTGAAGTGTATGGTAGAAGTTAAGACGTTATCGTTTCATGAAATAGAAGTTATTGGGAAAACTATAATCCGCTAGTCCGTCACAAAGCGCTAAACGGAATCCAATAAGTACACCAACTCATTAGCTTTAGAACTCATCAAAGATTATTTAGAACCTGCCATAGTAGTACGAGTATTAGTATCGATGGCTTATCAAATGATCTCAATAATATATTATTTTCAACTTGACAAACGACATAGAACGATAGTCTAAATAATAAATATTCATAAGAACAAAAACGTATAGTGAAGTACTGGCACTGACCTTACGAGCTAAATAATCATCTCTTACAAAATAAATTGGACAATCATAATCTGTAGATCGTTGTTCAACACAATCCAATAGTTTGTCAACACCTATAAAAGAAAAACTAGGTGAATAGTTATTTGATAACATCAAAAAGGTACAAGTATTTATATACAATTGTCTACACAAGATACCATCAGCAACAACCTAGTGTGGGAGAGAACAACCTAGGTTCCAGATGAAGAGGAAATTAGGTAAAGATGTTGGAAGTGGATAGGACAAGTATTACAGAAAGCATCAAACTGTATCATAAGGGCAAGTGCTAACTTGGAATCATAGAAGAAAACGGAAATGAGGAAGATCAAATAACACACTGCGTAGGGAATCGGAAACAGACATGAAAAGGATGAATAGCAACTGGAATCAACTGGGAAAGATTGTTCAGGATAAAGTTGTGTGGAGAATGCTGATGGGTAGTCTATTCTCCTCCATGAGGGGTAAAAAGCGTAAGTAACAGTAAAGCCCTAACTTAGAATCCTGAAAGAGGGCGGAAAAGAGGAAGGCCAAAGAACACATTACGTCGGGAAATAAAAGCAGATATGGAAAGGATGAATAACAACTGGAAGGAGCTCGAAAGGATTGTCCAGGACAGGGTTGGATGGAGAATGCTGGTGAGCGGCCTATGTTCCTTCACGAGGAGTAACAGGCGTAAGGAAGTAAGTATCTATTACATTGTTCTTATTATTATTGAAATTTCTTATCTTAATGCTCTTATCAATCTTTCCATGATTCTATTAATTAACTGAAAACAATTCATATGATAGATTGACTTTATCTAAACATAATCAATGAAAATATGATGGCATTGGATAGTTAACAGTCTAGAACTGATAAACAATGTACACATGTGGTGCGTGCTACTTATATTGATATAAGTAGTATATGATGTGAGTCAGGAATGTAATGTCTGGCAGCAGAAGATGGGGAAGATCATGAAAGAAAGAGCGGGAATAGAAATCAATTAGTATGAAAATGCAAGAACAATGAAGTTCGAGACAATTATTGAACATTTTGCAAATTAGGTATCATAGTATGTTTTTTCTATTTTACCAAGCACCCGTGTTCTGTTCACTACGGATTTTTATCTTGTCTTGACACAACTGTATGCTATATTTGGAGCTTGATTAATAAACTTCTATGAATGTGATAAAACGTTTTTTTTTAAATTATGATTTCCCAAGTATAGATTAATCACAATTCAAGGTGTCCCCAAATGCACTGGTACGGCGAAAGGTGGAGAGAGACCACTCTTCCACTTGAAATGCTCACGTATAGAAGTCCTACTTACTGATTTCTCGCGACATTAATGTTTTTTTTACGAAATTGAAAGGATGAAAAGCGAATGCCCAGTGCTTTAACCAGATTAATGGACACAGAAAATTCCAAACCAATGGTGCACATGACCTCCAGGATCCTGAGAGAACAAACGAAATATGAACCTATCTCTGGTCACCAGTTACCATGAGACTACATCTACTTACGTTTTTCTACTATCTTGTGAATCAAACTTTTAGATCGAAAGCTCCAAGTGTGGCCTCCTAAGAAAACCATCTTCTTTGGACTTGGTACTTGAGTAGTATCAAATGACTTGTGTGGCACATATGTATAAGCTGTGAACAATTTTGAGAATTTGTTTAATCATTATTTTCGCGCCTATAGTTACTCTTATTCTAAATAAAAACGTAACGATAATATACATTAGCCAATGAATTTCGCTTAGTGTAATAACATCAAAGTACAAGTTAGTCGATTAGGAATGAAAATAAATCAATTGTACTACCGATAAAATACATAATTCATAGTTTTCTGTCATTAAAATTATCATCTATCTAAATAACTATATGGATTATTATTATTATTACCAATATGAAGTGTAAAATTACAACTAAACTAATCAATTCACCTGGTGTTGTATCTTCCCATTGATGTCTTTCGGACTGCAATTGATCAGTCTCTTGTTGATATATATGCATATTGTGCGTATTGCTTCGATATTGCCTGATCACAAATATTATAAGCAAAGATGGATAGTAGCCAGCAGTAGGATACACGATACGCGTTTCGTCCTATTTGGGACTCGTCAACTGGATGTACCCTACATCCTAGAGTTGATGTTCACTTCGGAACTCCAATCCAGTACTGTTCGCTTTATACACTATCGCATTATTCACTTAATTACTAAGTCCTGATAGCCATTTACTTGTGTAATGAGGAGAAGTTTAAATCCACTTGGTATAGTTTACTTTAATCTTCCCATTGTTATTTAGGACTGCAATTGATCAGTCTCTTATTGGTATATATGTATACTGTGTGTATTGCCTCGATATTGCATTAAGTCACAAGCATTATAAGATTCAAGTAAAACAAGCGGTTATCAGGATTCAGTAGCTAAGTGAATAACGCGATGGGGTTTGAAGCGAATGGTACTGGGTTCGCGCCCCACAGTGGGCATCATCTGCAGGATGCAGGTACATCCAGCTGACGAGTCGCAAATAGGACGAAACGCGCGTTGTCCTGGATCCCACTGCTAGTCACTATCCATTTTTGCATAGGTTATTGAACTGTTTAACTAATATTGTCGCTGTATTTCTTGATAATTCTATCCTTCCAAATTATTCACTTTATTGATTTCGCTTAGGATTAATTTCTTTTACAAACGTAATATAATTTCTGAAGTATTGAACGAAAAGTTTAATAATTTATGATTTACTGATAATCATAAAATTTTGTTTGACTCATGCAACTTCTAGCGAAATGCGTTTAAACAGTCGAATTCACGAGTCAATCTAAGTTAGACCACTGTTGAAAACCTTGAAGCACTGCACGGCCGTTTGGTCCTAGTATGAGACACCCGAACAATCCACATCCGCGATCCTGTACGTGAAACTCGATCCCAGGACCTTCAGCTTTGCGTGTGAATGCCTAGCCTCTAGACCACTGAGCGGGCATCCAACACTGTTAATGTCTAACTCCAACCGACCCATGATCACTAATGACTAGCTTCAAGATGGATTTCCTGGAGTTCCAGTGAGAAGCCGTGTCCAATGGAGTCCAATCTATGTAGGATGGAGACAGTTACCCACCTCAGACAATGGATGAATGGTTGCGTAATGGTGGGGAACACAAACAGATTATACCACCACCACAAACCGGTTAAGGGAATCAATAGAAGACTACCACCCCTACTGAAGTACATGCTTGAAATTTAATCATTTTCTACCCTAATGAGAGCACGTATTTCCATGCGGTTTACTAGATATCAATTCGAAGATAAAAAGGTGAATGATACATCCAGTAAAAAATTAGCCAAGAACTAAGTTGATCATCGAGAAACAGCTCATACTGAAGAAGCCTGGAACGATATCCAAACACCTGTCAGTATATAAGTAACAACAGTATATAAGTATCAACATCTCAAATCAAGAGGTTAAGAATGACCAGTAAATTTTGATGGCATCTACTGAATTTATAGATGCTCGACAACTCATTCCATTAAGCTGGAAGAACGATGAAGTTCGAAGACAATTCAGACGTAAACTAATAAAAACTTTAGACAATCATAATGAGCAGTGGTAAACGACGAAGACAAAAGAGATGGAAAAGGAAGTGAGCTATAGGTGACAACAGACAACTTTACCGAATGATCAAGGAAATATATGTTAAAAAGGCAGATTTTGGTGACAATGTCTTGAAAAGGGTGAAAACTTTAACCATTCTAAGTCTGATAGAACTCCTTAGCAAACAGTTCAACAGACTTAGAGCTACACTTTAATTACCGTATGTCCTAAACCAAACTGAATGATAAATTGTCACGTTTCCCAACCCTTGATGGGGTTGAAAAGGCTACGTCCAGTCTAAAACGAAGATCATTAAATTCTGCTTCATTAAACTCGGAGCTCTGAAGGAAAGATAAAAAAGTTTAAGCAGTCAGGCTGACTGAGATATTGGATTAAGTTTGGAAACTGGACGTTATTCTATCTGACGCGTCGATTGTTTCGGTTTATGAAAAAGCACATCTTAAGATAACCACAGAGGGACCACCTTGACTAACATGACCTCAAAAATTAGACTTAATAATCCCTTAATGTTTACCTAGTGCGATAGCGATTCCCAGAAAGCCAATCAAGTTTCAGATTTGAACGTGAGATGCTCAGTATCCTCATTTTTAATTACTTCTATCTTTGACGTATTCCTTGAAATAAAATTTTCTTTAATCAACCCTTTAGGAGTCGATCTCCTACCAAGAATTTCACTGATCGACTCAGGACACGCTCATCATATGATCCTATTTGGTGGAGACCCCAATAAAATTTAGTATTTCGATCGATTTGAGTGACAATGCTAACATGTTTGGAATGAGTTTTTCTCCCTCAAAACTAATGACAGGGGGTGAATTGTTTGAACTTATCGACTACTTACTTCACTTAGAAATCTCATCAATCCCGGTGACGAAATCTCGATATGAACTCGGAAAACCCGGTTGTCTTTTAGCGCTTGGCATTACTTATGGCGTGGACAATATGCCCGTCTCCCTACCAAAGGGCCTGGATAATTATTTATTTATTTATTTATTTGAACACATATATATTGGTACAGGAGTGCGCCAAATATATATGCGCCACACAAAACAATGGGAATTTAAGAAAAAAAATGAGGAACGTAAAAAAAATTTTTTTTTAAACAATAACGAAGAGATTGATGTAAGGTAGTGTGGTAGTAATGAGGGAACGGAAAGGTACAATCAGAAGAAATCTTTCAGTTAAGGAAGAAACAACCACTTTTATGAAGAAAGTAAAAGGTTACAGCAGGATCGCCAACGGATTCTATTCTGAGTCATATCTCATAGCGTCTCTAGCCATTGTGTTGTACCGTCTCTCGGACTCCAACCAGAGATTCGTGAAGGACCAACACAAGCCAGTCGTTTGCAGCATTCTTTCATACCACGACATCATGTCATATACTAACCACCTCTCCGCTTTCTCCAACCAGTCCCAGAGTCGGCAAATAATGCACGTCGTGGGATTCTCTGGGATGACGTTCGTAGGACATG